CTTTGCCTCCGGATCACCCAGTCCTGAAGCGGGGCTGGTGCGCGGACCGCCTGCAGGAGTGCACGCGGAAATTGTTGGAGGATACACGATCGAATTGGAGCCTGGTGGACGAGCTCTTTGTGGAGATTGATGAAAATGTGTCCAGAAATCGGCGGGTAGGAACAGCGCGGGCGCCCCTGGGGAAAAAATGCTCATTCCTGAGAGTTTTGCTCGGTGATTGAGGGTTGAAAATTTGCTTCAATTCCGCCTCTGCAACGCGCCGTTCTCGTAGCATGCCCGGGCGGTGCGGTGTACTGTTTTGAGCTGGCCTTGGGCAGGAAAAAGCGATCCCAGTGCACCTTGTAAGCAGTGGCGGGGGATGCTTAAATCCAAAAGGTTTAATTTCCCGCACGCTTTCATTGCATTAAGGCCGATCGGTGCGAAATCGGATGCTTATTGGGGTCATGTGTTGTGTCTGAGCGGAATGATTTAATCGCTGTGCGCACATAGTACTACCTGGGAGGCGCCTCTGTGGTAGGATAATACTACAATCATTGCAGATGCTTAAAATTATTGAGAAGAATGGGACCAGAGAGTAAGTTCTGGGATGTCCCCACACAAGGGTGTTCGCGTTTTTCGTGTGGCGAGCAAAAATTTTCATCGCTTCATTGTTGAGTTGAAGGATAATGCAAAATCTGCGCGAGTTAATGTCACCTTGTTGTTGACAGAAGCACAGCGCGTCTCTTCCAAATATTGGGATTCCGTTTTAGTTTTCCCATCATTAATGCCTGATTAGGTGCCGTACAAAGTACGGTCGAAATTCTTTCAGCCATTCAAATGGTTGAGTGCATTGGCACCAATGCACAGTAGATCCAAAATTCTGTCCGACTGTAGCAAGGCAAAAGCTAGGCCGCACGTGAATGCAACAGCGCGATCTGCTTGCTCACAATACGGTATTAATTCAGGTTCATCTAGAACACCCGCCTTCCAGGATATCGCCGCAAGAGAATGGTGACGCGATGAATCTATCGGGAGCGGAGCTTTCTGGAGATGATCATCTTGTGATGGATAATGATCAAAGCATTCATGATCAAGGCGATGTGGACAGAGTTCGGGAGACATGGGACGATTTGATCGACGGGGATCCCTTCATACCTTTTAGGGACTCGAGCTATCCGCAACAGACACCAGTGCACGCAGCCAGTGATGATGTTGTGAGCAATGGAGTGCTTGAATCAAGCTACGATTCTCAGCTGGAGAGGTGCGGGCCCAATGTTTAAGCAAAGTCGATATGTCCATTTCAATGGTGCCTCAAGCAACTATGCGATTGGCACGGTGCTCTTCATTTTCACAGAAAATATTCGCGAATGATGTCGGCAAATGCCATGAACTGGAACAACAGAATGCATGATGAAAAAATGTACAAGAAGATAAGAAATTACAGATTACGAGTAGGGTATAGGAAGTAAATTATGGTTGCGCTATGGAACTTTTGACGTTTTGCGCTAGTGAAATGCGCAGAACAACAAGAATCGGTGTGATATCTTTACGGTATTGGTCATTGTTGAACACAGCACAAACCAGACAACATTTTGTATCTGGCGTGATCATGGACAATATTAGTAAGGTTATAATTGGCGACATAACTACCGAGCAACTGAAACTTGTTTTCAATGGTTCCAGCAAAACAAATCCTAATTTGCAACAAGATCAAAGTCAAAAATTTTGGAACATCTAGTTTACTGCGCTTCGTGCATGCGAAGGACCGACCGTGTTCAAACTCCACAAGTTTATAGTACTCGATGAAAACAACAAACAACATATGACACAATTACTTTGCCAGTCACAATCAGAGATGTTGCCCACAACTTTGACTGTTCTGGTGTGATTGTGGTGTGATTCCTGGTTTAAATGTTCCGTTTTTTTCAAGCTTTCTGATGGCTGAAGTCTGCAACACACAAGCTTTGGCAGATTTGGGACACTTGTAGCACATTGATTTTGCAAGAGCGCTTCTGTGGAGTGAAGCCATTGGCAACATCTAGTTGCAAAAATGACCCTTGAGCCTAGAAACCATGCCATGCTGACACAATCATGTCATATCTCATAACGATGCATGTATTTTTGTGTGGACCAATTGCATTGAATTGAGACACCAAAGGTGGGGCTGGGGGGGTGGGGGTGGGGAGTCATTTAAATGGCATCGCAAAATCCCCACGGAACCCTACAACACCCCCAAGAGGAAAATTGACACAAGGGTGTCATTTGCGGGGGTGCATTTGACAAAAGGGATTCCCTTGCGGGGTCACCCCTAGTTGGATCGGCTTGCTGACAGGCGCCGGTCTAGCAACGCGCCTAATGTACAAGGGGCGGTGAGAGGACCCCCTTTTATCAGATGCACCCCCGTAGAGTACCCCCTTTTATCACAGAGGACCCCTTTTTGTCAAGATATCTCACAGAGGACACACTATTGACATTTTCCCTTTTAACAATTACTTCAACCTTGGGTGGATCCCGGCCATCATGTGCGGGTGATGGCCAGGTGTCTACACCAACAAGATATTTCACAGCGTTTCCAAATGGAGCATCATGATGATTAGATGTTCAACATCATGCTGGATCTTGAGGTTGAATATTTAATCATGCTCCATTCCAAAACGCTGGGAATATTTTGCGGGCAATGCGCCACTAGTGCGAGCGGGATAACAAAGTGCCATGCTCACAAAACGGATGATAGGCGGAGTTGATCATGACACAACAATACGCCGCAATGGCAAGCACATCATCATATTTGATGCAGATTTCTACCATTCTGACCATGTTCTTCACTGTGGCCTCAAGTGCTCAAAGTCCCCCAAATTATTCTAATTTCTGCAGTACTGCCGAAAACTGAGCATGCGCCATGCCTGGCACTATTCAATATGCCACTCACAACAACGGACCAAATGGCGTCCTCCCAATTACTTGGAAGCCAACTGGGACCGCGTCATCGACCGGGCATTGGATAGAGGGGACACGCAGTGCCCCATCTGCCTAGACACCCTAGTGGGAGACGCCTCCCGCACGCCGGCCGGGGGCGGGATCACCTGGCTCAGTTGCAGCCACGTGTTCCACGAGACGTGCCTGCGAAGGTTCGAGGAGTTGAAGCGCATGCGGAGCCAGGCGGCTTCCTGCCCTGTCTGCAGGATGGCATACGAGAAACGAAACATCTGAGGGGCGCCATTCAAGTCTGCAAATGTTTTTCTTGTACGTGATGCCCTTGCCCTTTTTGGTGTCTGCTGCTTTCTGTGTGTGAGATGTAAATCCCATGGTGACTTGATTCCGCTTGCGTTGCTTTCCAATTGGATAAATAGCATAGTTACATAGAAGAACGCTTTATGGTTGGTTTGCAATTTGAATCATTCACATTTTATGGATCCGTTAGATGCACCTCTGGCGGAGGAGGAGCAGCTTTCTGACCTGGCACTGATAAGCTACTTGATGTGTAAGTACGCAATGCCACATGCTCACTAGGAAATAGGTCAAGTGTTGAAGTGGGTGGGTGGGTAAGTCAGCGCCGGCCATCACTGTGGCTCATGCTGAACATTCGTGGCATGGGCGCTAGGCCGATGGGCTGTGCGAGGGCCGGAGGTCGGCGATCACCTCCGCCGTGGAAGGGCTGGCCAGTCGGGGGCTCGCAGGTGCCACGACTTAGTCGCTCGCGCTGGAGCACGGGCCCGGACATAGATGAGGCCGTATCGGGGGGCCCATGGGCCCCATCGCTGGCCAGCGATTCATGACAAATCTGTGGATGGGAAACATTCAGATTGTTCCATCGCAAATGCCAGCTAGCTTACATATAGGCAGTGCTCATTGGCCACCGTTGTCCGTGCAAAAGGATGGCAGCACAGTTGGCTCGTACGTGCTACATAAAGCACAATAACATGTATGGAACTCTTGATAGCAGAGTAACACATCAGGGACAATGAAAGTTTTGCCCGATGTTCTATTGTAGACATCGGGGACGCATATCGAGATTCTGGGCACTCAATGCCCGTTAACGACGTGCCCAATCAAGGTGCGGTCAATCCATGTAGTGGTGTGAGGACTGCGCACAAGATCGCAGAATAACGCAACAGAATAGAATCGTCGCCAGTGCACCAATATTGTGATTCGGTTGCAGAAACATATGAACAAAATTGCATGCCCTCAGTGCACAGTCAAAGGCAATGTTGACGTTATGACACAACAATCTTGCAATAGAAGCCTCTCGAACACATCCATTTCTGCATGCCAACGCCACAAACAATGGCCAAAGGACATGAGCGCATCAAAGACCTGTTGAACAATACCCATTTCTATTCCTTGTGGCAACTCCCCCTTGTCGGTGCTTTCACAGTCTTCTTCGATTACAATCTGTTCAGTAATCGATGCAGCTTTTCTGCAATTATTTGAAGTGCGTCCATGCATTATGCACCCGCCCCATGCCGATTTTTCGATGCATCGACACCTCCCTTTGTAGGAGTGTCACGGTGGCATTCTCGGGCCATTCCCTTCAGCGAATCTCAAGTGCGAGCATCAGTACAAGACGCTTGTGCCATCATGAGTAATTGGTGCGAGGCACCCTTGTTTTATTCTTGTGCCATCGATGCCCACAAAGGTATCTGGGATGCCCAAGAAGCGGGAGCAGATTTTTATCACTATCATTCAATTTTGCACAGCAAGGCAAGGAGGTAGCAGTCAGCATCATATTTTGGCCGAGCAAAGCAGTATCCAGGATTGGCATTGATCAGTTTGTTGTGTGGGCGTGAATTGCCATTAACCACTGCAAGGTCACCCTGACCACCAGTACATATGCAATTGAACACTCCCAAAGGCGCAATGGCCAGCTCCCGCCTCCGCCTTCCCAACACCTTGGCGCCCCGCAATGCTGCGACGAAAGCCGACGCGCATCGAATTGAAGCCCGAAGACAAGCAAGAGGTCAGGCGCCCGGCCCACGAGGACCCCCCGCCCCCGCCGCGGTAGCCACCGGCCGCGGAACCGCATGGCGCGCTTTTTGCCGGCCCTCATGCCCCTCGCCGCCCTGCGGCCGTTCCGCGCAGTACCAGCAGGCCAAGCGCATACACGAGCAGCAGCAGGCGCAGGGCAAGGCGGGGGAGGTGCAAGCCTCGCCCCACGTCCAGGTGCGGCACCCTCGGCCCGTCGCTGAAGTCTTTTGTTTGAAATTGCCTTCCAAAGACGAAGACTGCAGCCCGATGCTGAAACCGTTTGTTTGAAATTGCCGTCGAGGAACAAGACTGGGACCCGATGCTGAAAATTTTTGCTTAGAACTGCGCACCAGAGACAAGGAATGCACCGATGCGTGCGGGAGATCGCGATGGGGGCTTTGTTGCTGCGACTGGGATGGAGGAGAGGGCGCGGATTGTGCCGTCACCGTTCGAGCTGCGGCGCATGCGCTGCGTCTTCGTGTGTTGAACCTGATCTGCGTGTCCAATGCGCTGTGACCCAGGTGAAGAAAGGGACACTCACGCTGCGGTCGGGACTCAGAAATTGATGGAGGTAAGCAGTGCACGTTGTCCCATAGGGCCGCAGCTGTTGGCCGGATTTCTTCAGTTTTCAATGTCGCACAGTTGAATGGGTACTGCAGATCACCATTTTTAGCGCTTCTTTGTCTTTCTGATGGCGCAGAAACGAGTCGCTACTGCAATTTGCGTGCCTTGGATGCAAAGAGGCCTGTTGAAAAGAGGCCTGTTCTTGCTCCCATGATAACGACGTACCTCATTGCACGAAATGGACTGGTTGCTTGAACAGGTTTGGACCTTGTACTGACTTGTGCAGCATGTGAGAACTTCACGTTGTTTGAATTTTGAGCAACTCACTGCCTAACAAAGCACATGTTTGGCCCTGTGCTCTCCGCTGCCAGGGCCAGCAAGACAGTTCAGTAAAATTTTTCTTTTACTACCCTTTTCTTGGGGTTTCCGCTGTCCTGCCGGGTAGCTTGCATTGCACAAGAACAAGCACTGTTTTGCTTATCAACTCTCGTTTTGGGAATATTACCTGATAACTCCTGCCTGCCGAAAAGGTGCAGATGAATGTGCCCTCAATGTAAAGAACCGCCTTGGGCAAGGTTTCTATTGTGTTGTCACAGCTGTACAAACATGCTTTTAGAATCTGCATGCATAGGACAGGTCTAACAGCACTTGGGGCAGGTCCTGGCCAAACCGATCGCTTCAGGGAAAGCTTTGGTGAAGGGTGTTGCTCTATCAATATTTGCCAAATATGACAAAGAGGAATTCACCGTTGCAGCACTGCCTTTGACTGGAATTGGCAAGGTATGGCCAGGGAATGCACCTGCAGTTGCACCACAGCAACGGGCACTTCTCCCTTCTGCAGCTTTTATTCAAGAAAACTTGTGGTGCTGGTAAGCAGGTTGAGATCAAGATCAACCTCCTGAGCCAAGAGTCCCATGCAAAGGTGGCCTCAGCACTGGGTGCGGACCACGTTGCGAAATATGAGCAGGAAAACTTTTTCTTCGATGGTTGTGAAGGAGAGCTGTCGTCGCAGAGAGCCACCCTCCGTGTGAGGATATACAATAGGGATGAGAAGGCAGAGCTCACACTGAAGGTTTGCTTGTTGTTCTGTTGGATGCACATTGAGTTTATTGCTGACATTCGCAGTGCTGAGCTTGCCAGGAGGTTGGAACTGTTGCCCTGGCAGAAATTCTCTCGATTGCAGTTCGTTGACGTTACATAGCAAGCCAAACACATGAATACTGGGACAGCAGCAGCCAATAGTTTCCGTTCATCCCCAAGCATATACTTGCACAACCTGCAAGCAACAGCAAAAGATCCCAGGGAGTGCCATTTTGTCCTTGATTTTGGAGACAACAGCAAGCAGGTTGATGATGAACGACCTATGCATTGTCAGCTTGTGCACAGGAAGTGCCATTTTCTCCTTGGTCTTGCAGACCATAGCGAACAGGTTGAATGTTAACATCCTGTGCATTGCCAGTTTCTGCACAAGTTTGAAGTGTCTGCCCATCTGTGCTAATGTTAT